GGGCGGGACGGCAGCCGCCAGGCTGGCCATTGCGGGGGAACTCTGCAGCCGCAGCGGGCCTTGGTGAACAACGGCCGTGCCCCGCTACCGGGAACGCGGCTGCCCTCCCGGGGCTGCCCTGCTTTTGTCTCCGGTGAGCCGTAGTCTAGCGACTGCCAGGAGTGTGGCTGTGTGGGCACGTGTCCCGGGAGGGTGGGCCAGCAGGTCCTGCTCTCCAGGAGGCTTTTTCCCGTGATCCTCCATGAAAAGCACCCATATCCTTTTCAGTTGGACACCACTGCTGATCATATTTTGTTGCTCTTCCTGGGCCAAGCCCATCTTCAAACGTCCAGGGATATCCCTGTTCCCTCTGCCTCAGTGGTGCAGTGTATCTCCAAACCATGTGAACCTGCTGAGGTGTGTTTTTTCAGGTGTGTGATGAACCAGAGGAGCTGAGGAGAAAGGCAGCTGAGCTGGCGGCAGCTGTGCGGAGCGCCAGGCACCTCGTCATCTACACGGGTGCCGGGATCAGCACGGTGGGTTTTCGGGGGAGCAGCCGGAGCCCCTTTGGGGGGAGGGTGTTGTCTGGACTGTTCTGTGGTTCCTGAATGGTCATTGAGCGGATGTTTGTGATGAGTCCAGGATGCTGCGTGAGTCTGTGGCCAGCACAGTGCCTAGGCTGCATCCTGGTCATTCCTGCTGTCCAGGAGATCCCACTGTGTGCAGTACATGTGGCCTGAGCAAGAGGACACTGGTCGTGCCTCACTTGAGTCCCTTCAGTGACTTTTGGTGTAAAACCTCCAGCCGGTTAGCTCAGGAACATCGTGTGTTATCAGACATGCAGGGACAGCTGGGGGGTTGGAATTTGCAAACAGCAATTTGAGAATTGTTTGGTTTCAGTGGCCCAGGGGAAAGCAGAAGTTTGGTTCTGCCTCTTCTAATGTGACAGCTGTCACCTTTGTGTGAGCTGTGAAACTCCAGTCTCTGCTGACTCAGAGAGTGGCTCAGGGCAGGGGCTGAGTGCTCGTGTCACCCACACATTTGCTAGAGATGCTGAGTGTGCAGTACCAGAAACCAGAGTCTGGAGAAAATAAGAAAAGGCTTAAGAATGGAGTTCTTTGCAGGGAAATGGGAAGTACCAAGGGTGAAAAAGAGCTCTGGAGGGATTCCATAATGGTAACATTGGAGAAAATAAATGCTGGAGGTGCAAATGAGAGTTGTAAGATAGAAGAGAGAGAGAAAACACATGAAAAAGTTTTCCTGTGATTAGGGAACCACTGTGATGGAAAACTTGGAATTAATGAAAAAGCAGCCATAGATAAGGTGTCTGTGGTTGTCCCGGGGGGGGCAGGTTGGTTGTGTTTGTGTACAAGAGCTGTGACCCCCCCCCATCAGGCCTTGTTTTCTCTCCTGGTGACAGGCAGCTTCGATCCCAGACTACAGAGGCCCCAATGGCATTTGGACACTGCTGCAGAAGGGCAGGAGCATTAGGTGAGGAGCCGTGTGGCAGAAAACTGATACTGGAAGAGGTTAATGGCAATTCTAACTCTTTTTTTTTTTTTTCCCCCCTTGCTCCTTGTCAGGGCTGCAGACCTGAGTGAGGCAGAGCCCACGCTCACCCATATGAGCATTGCCTGCCTGCACAAGCACAACCTGGTAAGATATTTTTTCCTCACCTCACTCATGCCTAAGAATGATAAAGCAGGGAAGAAAAATCTTTTCAGGAGATTGCCCGACTATGGTTTTGACTCAAGTGGCTGCACATCCATGTAGGAAAATGTGTCTGAGTCTTCCTTAGTGAGCTCCAGGCTGCAGCTCTGGCAGTTTTTCCCCTGGTGCCTTTTCTTTAACATGTTGTATTTGTACCTGGTGAAGCTGGTCTGGCCGCAAACCAGCCAGCCCTAGAAAAGCTCTGTTTAGCAGAAGGAAGCTTTCCACTTAGCTTTCACAAAGGTCTGTTCTCCACTCTCTTACCCTGTGGGTCCCGCTCTGATGTACAGGCTGTTGGTGTGATTTGGGACAGCACATCACCTGCTTAGAGTGACACCTGTGGGGTCTGTGTGAGCTCAGCATTTTGTTCTCTTCAAGGTGCAGCATGTGGTGTCTCAGAACTGTGACGGGCTGCACCTGCGGAGCGGGTTACCCCGAGCTGCAATATCTGAGCTTCATGGGAACATGTACATAGAGGTGAGTGGCCAGAGCAGGACAAAGTCACTGTTCAGTGGCCTCACAAGAAGAGGATGTAAACTCTTGATTTGTCATTATCTCAGGAGGAATTAGTACAAGGGCTTGGCTTCTGCACAGTTCCCATCTTCAGGCCATCACTTTGGGGTGAACTAGTTAGCAAGCACCAAACCCATTTCTGTAGCTCTTTCACTGTACTCACTGGAGCCTTCTGACTCCTCTTCCTCAGCCCTTCTCAGCACATAGCCAAAGGCTGCCTGCAGCTCCACGTGCTAGTTGAGGTTTTCCAAGTTAGCATCTGATCTCTGATGATCCCATCTATAGCTTCCAGTACACTGTCCCCAAAAGTGCTTTTTGTCCGAGAGAAGTGGCTGGCTCCTGGCCTCTCATTGGAGGGATGCTGATGATGTGATGGGTTTTCTGCTTTCGTCCTGCACCAGGTCTGCACTTCCTGTACACCCAACAGAGAGTACGTGCGAGTGTTCGATGTGACGGAGCGCACAGCCCTGCACAGACATCACACGGGCAGGATGTGCCACAAGTGTGGGGCACAGTTGAGAGATACAATCGTCCACTTTGGGGAGAAGGGGACATTGAGACAGCCCCTGAACTGGGAAGCAGCAACAGAAGCTGCAAGCAAAGCAGATGTGATTCTTTGTCTGGGTTCCAGCTTAAAGGTAACTTTAGACACTCGGTGAAGATTGTTAGCAGCATTCCCTCTTGGTGATACACCTTGGTGCTCAGCGGTTTCCTCCCAAACAGACAACTGTAAACTCTGGTGTCAGGATTCGCCCACCATCTGTGATAGTCTCTCTTCCTCCCTCTTTCCCCTCCTGGTAATACATTCCTTTTCCTCTCGCTGATACGGTTCACAGTGGCGTGTGCCCGTGGCTGTGCTGAT